GTCTGTAGGATTTTGAGTGCAGGCGTTCGACCCACACCTATATAATCAAAGATCTATTTTCTACTAATAACGATATTTGATCGTTGAAGTTAAGTGTGCTTAATTATATTCGTTTAGAAGTCGAACAAAAATATTTACACAAAGTAATCGGATGATGTGCAAACTTCTCGAGTGAATAAAAAGCATTATTCATATTAAGAAGAGTCGAAAATATCCTATATCAAAATCAATAAAGATTCGCTTCGTATTTATGAAGATATTTTACTCTGAATCACAGTACAAATTGAATTTCATTTTCGAGCGATGTCCAGGTAGAATAATTTGTTCAAAAGAAAAGTATAAGCAAGCTTCTTTCTTTAGTTGGGCTTGGTTATTTTGGTTGCTAATCCATTGCTGGTGTGTGATTCTACAAACACAAGGAAAACAATGGATTCTCGTTGATTCACCATCGTCGAAAGAAGATTCGTCGGAGCGTAAATTAGTTGGGCATTGTCGAGATGGGAAAAAGAACGGCGACGAGACCGATACTGATTGTGGTGGATTGAAATGTACCAAATGTAACGATACGATGCGTTGTAAAAATCATGATGATTGTCTCAGTAGTTATTGCAAAAACAAAAAATGCTCGAGTAAGTCATTCTCGATTGTGAATATAGATAAGATATTTTGGGATATTTTAGTTTTGGAAACCTGTGAGGATAACATTAAAAATCAGGACGAACTCGATGTGGATTGTGGTGGACGTGTATGTCCAAAATGTGAAGATCAAAAGTATTGTCGAGAAAATTGCGATTGTTTAAGTAATACATGTCACAATAATACCTGTGTTTGTAAGAAAACGGATATATCTGAAACGAATTCATTGAATTATTCTCGTATTCTTTAGCGGCAGAGACGTGTAAAGATGAAATTAAAAATCAGGACGAGACTGATGTCGATTGCGGAGGCAGCATATGTCCGAAATGTGAAGATTCAAAGAAATGCACGAGTGATTGTGATTGTGTTGGTAATACTGCTTGTGTTAACAATACATGCGTTCGTAAGTCACATAGAAGAATGTTGACTTGATAGTTCATATATTCTTTAGCTAAATGTACTCCGGAATGTAAAAATGATGGTATATGCGTTGCACATAACATCTGCAATTGCACAGCGGGCTTCAGCGGTCCAACCTGTGAAGTTCGTAAGTATATTTTCTACAATGTTCGATTATATTTGTTTGCTTTTGAGAATCGATTGGTTTATGTCATGATAATGATACCATGGGTACAACTCCTATCCTCTTAGTCACATTTGACAAAGGTGCACCACAATTTTCCAAAACGATTCCAGGCCAATTCAACTTTAGTACAACATATAAACAACGATTTAAACCTACAGTTGAAGATGGACATTTCAGTTTTATTAATTCAGTCTATAAACATTATCAGCATGCATGGCATACTGGAGCAACTGATCATACAGGTGATACTGGAGGATATATGCTTCTGGTTAATGCAGATTTTACACCAGGCGAATTTTACAAAGGACAAGTGGAGAATTTATGTGTTGGCTTACGTTATGAATTTTCGGTTTATTTGGCCAATGTGCTTCGACGAACTGATCAAATCAAGCCAAATGTTCGTTTTGAGGTTCGCAGTCTATCAACTGGAAATCGATTGTTGGCTCAACTGCGTTCTGGACCGATTCCTGTCGACAAATCGTTACAATGGAGAAAATATGGTTTATCATTCACAGCACCGAGTAGTTCAGTTGTTCTCTTGATGATTTCCGATGCTCCTGGTGGTGCAGGAAACGACATTGTTATTGATGATATTGCGCTGCGTGTCTGTTCACATGATGGTACTGGATTTTGTCCTTCCACTGAACAGAATGACGATTGAATAGACTATCTCTAATCACTTACGAACTTTGTCTTTTGTCATCTTAACCAATAAATGGGGTCGGCTTTGCCACAAAAATTGAGAAAAAAATGTTATAGATGCGATTATAACAGTCTATAAAAGCACAAGAATTAGGTTAAAAAAAAGAAAGAACACTGGTGACCGCTTGTTTATTTATAGTTGATAACAAATATGATAGTTAAAATGCAATTTCACGTTGTAGTTTTGAGAGAGAGAGCCTCCGAAATCATACTTTGATGTAGATGAATATATTTGGTAACAGACAGTATTGATTGTAAGTACATATGAAGTCAACAATGAAACAAATTTTGTGTATAGTAAATCCATATGAGAACTGAGCGGCAACTGCACTGAGTAAAGGCGAAAATGCTTTTTGAATTATCATGATTTGTATCGTCTTTGCTCACAGCATCCGAAATCGTTTTTACACTTCATTTTGCTTTATGCATTGAGAAGAGACAGGAATCAAACTATCGAATACACATACATGATGGTCACTTTGGACGTCTCTACTATAAATGTCTCATTTTCGGGGCAACGGCGTTATGTAGATAATCTTCGCTGAAAAATCTCAAGACAAAATGTTCGTTTACTCCCTGAGTACTGTAAAGGGTTTAATGAAACTCTTCATGAGCATGAAAAGTTAGTTAGGAGCATAAAGTTTTGTCGTATATTTTCAAAATTAGGGTTCGCAGTTAGATTAGAACACAGATTTTGTTTTCAAAAAATAAACACTACACTTATCTTCGTTAGAACTGATGTTGATTATTACATAGCACAATCCACTTTAAGTTTAAGTATGTTTTTTTTCTATCAACGTTCCATTTCAGCGAAAATCGTGAATTGTATATTCGCTCTACCACGAAGAATCGTACTTTTCTCAAATATATAGACAGTTTATGGCATACATGCTCAAAGACTTCACCACAGATTTACTTGTAGCACTTTTTTTCAAAAGTAGATCAAGTCGATCAATAACTCACATCAAATGAGATTTGTGTCGACGAAATCTGCCGCGTGAACTACAGTTCGTATCACGTATTCCGAACATCGGAGAGTGTAAGCGGATGTTCGAAAAAAGATTTTTGTTGCCGATTTCGTGCAGAAGTCCGGAATGTCAGATATTCAGAAATCTTTTGTCTAAAAATGATATAGATATGAGAAGAAATGCTGTGCAAAGTCAGCAATGTAGACCCAAATTCACCACTAAGCAAGACTGGATGGATTCAGGCGAACTCTCCTAATACGAGTGCTCATTTTACACGCCCATCCATTCAAAGAGGAATGCTGGTCATTTACTTAGAATTTCACTTTACGGATTCCATGACGAAATTTTCACAATGTTTTCTCGTCGCGGGTTTCGTAGTAGACATCTGAGCAGCATGTCCGGAAAAACAAAGTGTCGCGAAACCTATTCTGGTGAATTCTGTAGAAAGCAATTGCTGTAATGATTATGAGGAGCATTAGATCTTGGTTGATGGTGAATTTTGTTCCCATATATTTTCGTGTCCTCAATTATGATCTGACTACATGACGGCAGGAATACCATTACGATCGGTCAGTTAGCCATTAAAGATTCAATTGACCTTGCGAAAGGGTTTTATTGTGTTTTTTAGCGCACGATGCGTTCATTCTTTTTTGTGCTGAAGATTGTTAGCGTTGAAGTGCGCGTTTCTACTGGGTTTAGAATGATACGCATGAGAGCTGTAGTAAGTTTTACTGTCTGAACTTGGGCGAATATGCTCTTTTTCAGAATAGCGAGATTCCACTATGCGAGAGCGGTAGTCACACAGTTGGCAGAGTACAAGCGTGCGTTTGTTGCAAATTTAATAATACATACTATTTTCCGTAACATTGCACTTTATTACATGTGCTTCATTTACGAGTTGATCCAATATACTTGATGGAAGTACTACAGCTAAAAATGGTAGATATATTACTTGACGTTGTTTCATTGAATTGTTGTTAGACTGACAGGCTATTTCACACAAACATAAAATCATTCCTATATGCTCCATATCGTGAAACTGGGATTGCGCTCAAATTCTGCCAAAGATGTCCATTGCGAACTATTCGACGCATCTGCACTTCAAATCATCAAAGTCCAAATTTCTAGAACAATTATTTTCAATCCCTAACGCATTCTGTCTTCCGCTAACCAACATCGAATTTCGTATCGCACACCAAACTTCCGTGAGATCAACCTCGACCCACATTTCATAGAAAGAGTGCATTCTCTACATCCATTGACATCCACCCTTTCTCTCGCTACCGAAACCTACCCAATTTCCTTTGTATGCGCCGCAAATAGCTTACCAACCAAAACCACGATTTCCATCGAACAACCTAATATCATTATTAATACTATAATTATAATCATTCCAATGACCTTTTATCATTTACCACATCAACCACAAACAACAACTACCTGTGTACTTCAATCCTCTCACCCTCATTTATTTCATAAAAACTTTCATATGAAGACACTTAAAAGTTATTTCGTAGGTTATCCTCACAAACGCAGTGACAATATGTTCCATGAATTACACCCAAATCTCTATAATAGTTTACGAACGCAATCCCACTCAATATCACATCAAACACGAACATTCACCACCACTGTGCAGTTCACCTCTCTTCATCACCGTCACACAACACAACACACTCCACCATTTCACTCAACATCACATCAAACAGGAACATTCACCAGCACTCTGCAGTTCACGTCTCTTCATCAGCCTGACACAACTCAACATACTCCACCATCTCACTCAACATCACATCAAACACGAACATTCACCAGCACTCTGCAGTTCACCTCCCTTCATCACCCTGACACAACTTAACACATTCCACCGTCGCAAGAAACATCACATACCAAACGAACACTGCTCACGAAACTGCAGTTCACCTCTCTTGATCAGGCTCACACAACTCAACACATTCCACCATCATACCCAACATCAAAACAGAGACGAACATTCACCAGCACTCTACAGTTCACCTCTCTTCATCACCCTGACACAACTTAACACATTCCACCGTCGCAAGAAACATCACATACCAAACGAACACTGCTCACGAAACTGCAGTTCACCTCTCTTAATCAGGCTCACACAACTCAACACATTCCACCATCATACCCAACATCAAAACAGAGACGAACATTCACCAGCACTCTACAGTTCACCTCTCTTCATCACCCTGACACAACTTAACACATTCCACCGTCGCAAGAAACGTCACATACAACACGAACATTCACCAGCAGCATGCAGTTCACCTCCCTTCATGACCCTCACACAACTCAACATACTCCACCATCGGACTCAACATCACACCGCACACGAACATTCACCATCAGTCTGCAGTTCACCTCTCTTCATCAGCCTGACGCAACTCAACCTACTCCACCATCTCACTCAACATCACATCAAACACGAACATTCACCATGACACTGCAGTTCACCTCTCTTCATCACCCTCACACAGCTCAACACACTCCACCATCTTACTCAAGATCAAATCAAACACGAATATTCACCAGCAGTATGCAGTTCACCTCCCTTCATCACCTTCACAGAACTGAACACACTCCACCATCGCACTCAACATCAGATCAAACACGAACGTTCACCATCAGTCTGCCGTTCACCTCTCTTCATCACCCTCTCACAGCTCAGCACACTCCACCATCGCACGAAACATCACATACAGCACGAACATTACTCACAAAACTGCACTTCAACTTTTTTCATCAGTCTGCCACAACTCAACACACTCCACCATCTCACTCAACGTCACACCGCACCCGAACATTCACCATTAGCCTTCAGTTCACCTCTCTTCATCAACCGGCCACAACTCAACATACTCCACCATCTCACTCAACATCACATACAACACGAACATTCACCAGCAGTATGCAGTTCACCTCCTTTCATGACCCTCACACAACTCCACACACTCCACCATCGCACGAAACGTCACGTACGACCCGAACATAACTCACGAAACTGCAGTTCAACTCTCTTCATCAGCCTGACACAACTCAACACACTCCACCATCGCACTCAACATCAAATCAAACACGAACGTCCTCCAACACACTGCAGTTCAACTCTTTTCATCACCCTGACGCAACTCCACACACTTGACCGTCGCACGAAACATCACATCAAACACGAACATTCACCAGCACGCTGCAGTTCACCTCTCTTCATCACCCTGACACAACTTAACACATTCCACCGTCGCAAGAAACGTCACATACAACACGAACATTCACCAGCACTCTGCAGTTCACCTCCCTTCATGACACTCACACAACTCAACATGCTCAACCATCGGACTCAACATCACACCGCACACGAACGTTCACCATCAGTCTGCAGTTCACCTCTCTTCATCAGCCTGACACAACTCAACATACTCCACCATCCCGCTCAACATCACGTCAAACACGAACGTCCTCCAAGACACTGCAGTTCACCTCCTTTCATCACCCTGACGCAACTCCACACACTCGACCGTCGCATGAAACATCACATCAAACACGAACATTCACCAGCACGCTGCAGTTCACCTCCCTTCATCGCTCTGACACTACTTATCACACTCCACCATCGCACTCAACATCGCATCAAACACGAAGATTGACCAGCACTCTGCAGTTCAACTCTCTTGATCACCCTGGCACAACTCAACACATTCCACCGTCGCACGAAACGTCACATACAACACGAACATTAATCACCAAACTGCAGTTCAACTCTCTTCATCAGCCTGACACAACTGAACATACTCCACCATCTCACTCAACATCACATCAAACACGAACATTCACCAGCACTCTGCAGTTCACCTGTGTTGATCACCCTGACACAACTTGACACATTCCACTGTTGCAAGAAACGTCACATACAACACGAACATTACTCACGAAACTGCAGTTCAACTCTCTTCATCAGCCTGACGCAACTGAACATACTCCACCATCTCACTCAACGTCACATCAAACACGAACATTCACCAGCACTCTGCAGTTCACCTCCCTTTATCACGCTCGCACAACTGAACACATTCCACCGTCGCACTCACCATCGCATACCACCCGAACATTCACCATTAGTCTGCAGTTCACCTCCCTTCATGACCCTCACAGAACTCAACACACTCCACCATTGCACTCAACATCGCATCAAACACGAAGATTCACCAGCACTCTGCAGTTCACCTCTCTTCATCACCCTGACACAACTTAACACATTCCACCGTCGCAAGAAACGTCACATACAACACGAACATTCACCAGCAGTATGCAGTTCACCTCCCTTCATGACCCTCACAGAACTCAACACACTCCACCATTGCACTCAACATCGCATCAAACACGAAGATTCACCAGCACTCTGGAGTTCACCTCTCTTCATCACCCTGACACAACTTAACACATTCGACCGTCGCAAGAAACGTCACATACAACACGAACATTCACCAGCACTCTGCAGTTCACCTCTCTTGATCAGCCTGACACAACTCAATACACTCCACCATCGGACTCAAGATCACATCGAACACGAACATTCACCAGCACTCTGCAGTTCACCTGCCTTCATGACCCTGACACAACTCCACACACTCCACCATCGCACGAAACATCACATACCAAACGAACACTGCTCACGAAACTGCAGTTCACCTCTCTTGATCAGGCTCACACAACTCAAGACATTGCACCATCCCACCCAACATCAAATGAGAGACGAACAGTCACCAGCACTCTACAGTTCACCTCTCTTCATCACCCTGACACAACTTAACATACTCCACCATCTCACTCAACATCGCATACCACACGCACATTCACCAGCACTCTGCAGTTCACCTCCCTTCATGACCCTCACACAACTCAACATACTCCACCGTCGGACTCAACATCACACCGCACACGAACATTCACCATCAGTCTGCAGTTCACCTCTCTTCATCAGCCTGACACAACTCAACATGCTCCACCATCTCACTCAACATCACATCAAACACGAACATTCACCATGACACTGCAGTTCACCTCTCTTCATCACCCTCACACAGGTCAACACACTCCACCATCTTACTCAAGATCAAATCAAACACGAACATTCACCAGCACTCTGCAGTTCACCTCCCTTCATCGCTCTGACACTACTCATCACATTCCACCATTGCACTCAACATCGCATCAAACACGAAGATTCACCAGCACTCTGGAGTTCACCTCTTTTCATCACCCTGACACAACTCAACATGCTGAAGCATCGGACTCAACATCACACCGCACACGAACGTTCAGCATCAGTCTGCAGTTCACCTCTCTTCGTCACCCTGAAACAACTCAACATACTCCACCATCTCACTCAACATAACATCAAACACGAACATTCACCAAGACAGTGCAGTCCACCTCTCTTCATCACCCTGACAGAGCTTAACACACTCCAGCATTTCGGTAAGCATCGCATAGTGTTTGATGGTATGTAACATGTTGTGCCACGGTAGTGTTCTGGTATAACTTTATCGAGGAATTAATAGGATTGGTGGGGTTTGAGGTGTATTGTATGGTGGTAGATGAATGCGGAGTATCAATTTGATGTGCAGATAGTGTGCGATGCGAAGCGAGGTAGATGTCAGTTATGGGAACAAATTATTGATCGCGTTTATTATGAACGAGTTTGACGACGGGATTGATCAGTGAGCGTGTAAGATGTATGTTTGAATTGGGTTTCAAATAGCGGTAATTGTTTGATGTGGTAAATGAATGGATATAACGTTTGAAGTGGTTGTAATATTTATCAAGTCGTGTAGGTTTTGCACGCGAAGTATACAGAAATCAGTGAATGAATGCTTCGCGGTAGGTGACGTTTATTTTGAACGACGTTGATCATGACTCGGGCCGTTTACTACTTCTTGCAAAAGCGAGTACTACAGCGAAAATGGATGTGAATGTGTAGATGGTTCCGGAATAAATAATATCGGTAGTTGATTCGGGTTTTGTAGTGATGTGTAATTGAGTACGTTGCAAGATTGTTGGGAAAATCGATGCGATATATGAACAATTTACAGATACCGCTCCCAGTCTGCAAAAGTCCAATATTTTTGTTCAGTAACTTTGTAGTGCTGAGATTGGCTGCTAAGAATATGTTGCATGGCAAGATCATGTGACAAGTGATGCTGCAGTATTGTTATAATTACTTTGTACAGGTATTTTGGAATTCCTATATCGAGGACATACGAATGTGATGTTTGAGAAAGTTACGCTTGAATCGAACAAAATTGATTCTGTTCATAGCGTGCGCATATTTCTGTAATCATATAGCAGATCTATATCTCAAAGCTCATATTCCGGGATCATATGAAGAAAGAACTGCTACTATCCACTTCCAACTTTTTTCATGGTCTTGTTCATTTATATTGTACACAAGACACAATTCAGTTCGTCGAAACCTGTTTGGTCACGTGAGTTGATCAAATGAATGCTTATTATCAGTCGTTTCTGTTCGTTAATAGTGTCGTCATTGGTATCAATGGTTTTACTTGATTACGCGTGAGTATTGATGTTAAGATGTGAATAAATTCAGTAGTACGATCTGTGCTAAATTTCAGTGCTTTAAACGATAGTAAATCAAAGATGATATACTCATTGGGGATCATATGGTGAGTGAATATCTGTTTACCAATCAATGTTCTATTCTTTTCTCCGATCTGACTCTCATAAAACATTCTGTACTCACTTCACTGGTTGCGGATTATATGAGAAATGAATAGTTGTGACGACATTTGCCGCATCTGATGCAAGGGCGGCCTTTACACCAGAGGTTCTCGTAGGTACCAGGTGGTTTAAATTCTTGGTGTTCTATATATAAAAATACCAGTATAAAATTCATTCGAGAATGAATATTTTCATTTTCGGATTAGCTTTCCTGTTTTAAACGTGAGAAATAGAAAGGTACCTAGTAACATAATTGTTTTCTGTGTCGGTTAGATTTCTGAGTGCAAAAGAAAATTTCCACTAATCATACCTTTCTGTGTTGGTTTAATGCTTGGCTTTGGAGAGCTAAAAAGAGACACGTTTTAATATATCATTTGTATAGTTCATTTCACAAAACTCGGTAAGTAAAATCTTACGCTGTGAATACATAATTCAGATATTACATCAACGAGCTTTAACAGCACTTCATCCTTTTACTATCGTACCTATGTATTGTTTTGATCACTGAGGGTGGTGGATGAGGCACAACTATTTTGGCTGGTTTTGGAGGATCCTAAAATAAAGGATGATTTAATGTTTGTAAAAATTCTCAAATGTTTAAAAATATACGATTACTTTTGACACAGGCTCTAAGAGTGGGTATGGTGGATCGATTTCGCGAAGTTGTATCATGTAGAGGCCACCGGATTGATTGAGACATGCAACAACTTGAAATTGTCGAGCAGGTAGAAGAAGAATTTCGTTTTCGGTTTTGTATTGGGAGTGTTGTTGAATATCCTTCCCACTCTTGCATTCAATTGAAAAAAATGTTCTTGTTCCAGTTGAACCCAAGAATTGATCATTTTCCAAAGCATCCATCGTTGTTGTACAGGAGCTGAACCCCCACCAGATAATGGTATCCCCTTTCTTGTACTGCTGTCGCATATCACATTTAACTCCTCGATAAACCGTACGTTGTTCGGAGGGCAGACGTGATAATGCGGTCAGGACCAGTTTCAAGTAAAGGAACCATGGAACTAGTTTTCGTCGATTTTCTTCACGAAGAGTTGCATTTAATACAAAATAAAGGCATTCTTCCTGTGGTTCCCACTCCATTGAGTACAAAATAATCGCAGCCGATTCATCCGTTGTTAGATCATCAGCTGGGGGACTATCGCATTTCATTTTGGCTACATATGCCATGCGTTTGACATCGGGGACAAATTGAACCAGAGGTTCAACAGCTTCTTCTAACGACACCATGGGCTTTCTCTCGTAACCTTGAATGGGTAAGAGCATTCGACGAGGTTCCCCAGTTATGTCAGAGAAGCGAAGATGATGTTGGACGTCATCATCTTCAGAATACTTAGCTGCCATCTTGCAAAAGTAAAAATAATACTAATCTTAAACAGAAAGAAAAATTCGCTCATCATAGGACTATGATAGAAAGGTTTCTAACTATAGACTATCTTGGAAAAAAACCGTAAATACGTCAGTATTCACCTTCAGTTGTCCTTGTAAACTTCTCACGTTGTTTTTTTTGTCAAATTAAGCATATTTCGTTAGAAACAATGTGAATTTAAATATCAAGTCGTTTGTTTTCTTTCTGAGTCATGTTAAGATTATAGAATTTGCTCGTTCTGTTGACACAGCACTCTCGTAATCATGACTGTCGACTGCTTTTATTTCAGCAAGTAACAGCACAACAAACAGAAAGAATGAAGAAAAAAAAGATTTTTTACCAACCATGAAAGATCGAAAAATATTTGTGTTTTTCTGTTTCGAGTCGATTGTGCATCCTAGATCGGCTATTTCGATGTAAAATTACATCGTGTCTGCTATCGAATTGGTAAATGAGAGATGTTAGAATATGTTCAATAAAATCTCCTGAGACATCGATGTTATACTTTCAGAAAACGATTCAACTTTTACTAAATTTACTCAACAATCTGTAGAAGAAATGTTTATCATTTTTAATATTCAAATCAATTTTTAGTTATCTTCGAATAAATAAGTCGTATATCCCGAGAGGAATATGAAATTATCAGGCTTTGTTATGTCGTTCTCGTTCGTTTCTTCCTACTTTGTAACCATACGAAAAAAAAAGAGAACTGCAATCTTGATTATTTGGTGAGAGTAAGAATGCAAAACTAATGTTCATGTCCATAATGTGTTTACGAGAGAAAAAAATTTCATTTTCAAGCCCTAGGACACGTCGTCAGATGTTTGGAATGAGTAGCACGAAACATAGTTCACTCTTGAAAACCATATTGAGGGTGGGTGAGGGTGAGGGTGTATTTTGCATCTACAACAACACCAACACCCACATGCTCAATGATCGAGCTGTTTTCAGTCGATGACATAAAATATTCTACACCGGAATAAGAATTTTTTCGTATCAAAAAAAGAATCTTAAGATGCATCCTTTGGAGATGAATACCTAAAATGGGTTGTCTTTTCTTATGATGAAATGACATTTATCCGATGCGAGATTACACGCGAGGAAGCTCACTTCTGTATATACTTATTTACTTGACGTCTTACTTGACACAAAACAAAGTTTCAGAGTGAAAATGTATGAGCGAACAAAATTTTTGTCGATGATTATTTTGGAAATTCCGGCGATACTTCTCTCAATTGTCATATTAGTCTATTTCGTTCTGGATCGTCGAGCTCGTTCGAAGTTGAAAAATCATGGGTGGATTGTTTTACTTCTATCAAATTTTCTTCAACTTATCATAAATCTGCCAATGCCAATGAGTTATTATTATCGAGGTACCGTTTGGCCGCAAACAAATTCGTATTGCACATGGTGGGCTACATGTGAATTTTCATTCAATAGTATCGGACTATTTTTAATGGGATGGATTTCAATCGAACGACATTTTATTGTTTTCCATTCACATACACTTCTTCAAGGATATTGGAGAAAATGTTTGTTCCACGTTTTTCCGATTATACTTTGTTTGATTTTATCACCGATCTTTTTCTTTGTATTTATTGTTATAAGTCCACTATGTACATCTGACTGGGACTTTGATTTACTCGGTTGTGGTGCTCCGTGTTATTTCGGAGAATATTTTGTTAATCAATTTGATTTTTATTTCAATCTTCTCGTCCCGACTTTCATTATTGTGTTAGCAAATGTAATGTTAGTCGTTCGAGTTATCCATCAAAAAGTCTCACGGCAACGAATTATTCATTGGCGACAACATCGTCGAATGATTTTACAATTGTGGATTATTTCATCATTGTATGTCGCATTTTGGTTACCTGTTTCAATAACTCTGCTAGTACAAATAACTGCTGATCCTTCGTTCATGATGAATTCTCTCACAGTAATGCAGTTTCTTACATATCTCATTCCACTTCTATTACCAATGATGTGCCTTAGTACATTACCAGAATTAACCAAGAAAATTCTGCGTAGAATAACAAACTCACGATCGAATGTGGTAGAAGCTATGTCTGGTAATCGAAATGTAAGAGTAGGAATCGCAATTACACGTATATGATGATTTCAAACAAAGAACAGAACAAAACGGCGTGCACGAGCTTTTCTTGTTTTTCACTTATAACTATTAAAAACAAAAATATGTGATTTTGTCAAAATCATGAATAAACTTAATGCAGTTCCTTTGTTTAAAAAATGCAATGCTATAAAAGAACACAAACAAATCAAATGTTAGTCAAATAGAAATGTCGTTTTTCAATTGTACTGAATCTGTTCCGACAATCGAATATCACAATCAATCGAACGAGATCTCTGAACTATACCGAGCATGTGTAGCGGGTAATGTTGAACAAGCAAGAGCATTACTGGTTAATATGCCATTTATTCTTATGAATACACTTGAACCGAATGGTAGTACAGCGTTACACGCTGCGTCTGAGCGCGGTTATGTTGATATAGTTCGTCTTCTTGTCCATGAATACGGTGTTATTCGCAGTCGAAGAAATGCCGAAGGTTTGACTGCATATGAAGTGGCAGCGAATGATGAAGTTCGTCAACTTTTTCATCGGCCTCAGATTGACAATTCGTTTGGTGCGGTCGTTGAGGATGCTGCTGTCAATGCGTTCGCTATGTTCTTTCCAGAATCAAGACGTCGGCGTCCAGGTTGGATTCACAGCACGTCCGGTTGGTTGAAGGTGAAAAATATTGAAAGTAAAAGGAAGAAAAGTAAATTGATTCAGAATAATCGATTTTTAAATGTGATATCGACATTAAATAATGGGAGAATATCTGATTTGTTTCCTTCGAAACGCGAAATTAAAACATTACGAAGAATGATTGATAATTACATCAAGCCAACACATAAATATTATCAATTAGCGTCTAAGCTTTTATCAAAATTCGAGGAAACTGGAAATGTTGAACATCTGTTAACGATTTACACTCTTGAAACACCTTTTTATAATGAGGTTGGTGGACCCAAACGTTGCTACGCTCTATTGAAGCCTCTAATTCGCAATTTGAATACGCTTCGTCGTCGTCATTACCAAGGAACTTCATATCGTGGATTATCAATGACAAAAGAAGACTTAGAAGAATATGAACACGCTATGGAACAAGGAGTTGTTCGTAACAAAAAAAGTGTCATCACTTTGGCAAGTTTTGCTTCCACTTCGAGAGATATAAGAGTAGCGTTATTTTTTCTTGATGCATACCGAGTGGAAGGCAAAACTGCCGTGTTATTTACTCTATCATTTTCCGAAGTATGTGATACAGCAGTGACACTCTATCGGACATCAGAATCAACACCAAGCATTTCAGCTTTTGAAGACGAAGAAGAGATACTTGTTTATCCAGGCACGATGTTTCAGGTCACAGCAATTGATTCAACATCTGATCCTTCTATAACACATATTCATCTTACAAATGTCATGCCGGAATATCATCTTGGAGCAGTTGTACTCGACTCGGTTAAAAAAAGAGTGGAGAAGAAATTCATTGGCGCTCTCGTTTAAAAATTCGTTCCATTATTATAACAAACAAATACTGTATTGAAATCATTCGTTACTTTTTCTTCATTTGATCAAAATAAAGTTTCATATGTTTTCGAATTTCTCTATCGAGAATAAGGATGACTAGTTTTTCAATTGTAACAGACACCGGTAATGAAATAATTCCCATCGAATAAAAAATTTCAATGCGAGTGATGACATAAAGCAATGTCGATAATCCTCCACATGTATAAATCGAAATCAGAATTAAAATATTGCGGAGCATTTCCAGATTTCGTTTCTGTTGAATCTTCCGAAATTGATGTACAGAATTTCTCTCTATGTACCGAACATGATAGTAGATACTACAATAAACGACAATAATCAATACTGTTGGAATCAAATAACAAGCCGTTATCGTATAAACTACATGCAAAAGTTTAGCCACTGGTACCCAGCAGAGAAACGTTGGTCGATAATAAACATCTTTGCTAATCAATGTTGATAAAGGAATACTCATAACGAATAACCACTGAATAAATATCATTTGATAATGAGTACGAAATGAAAGTACCCATCGATGTTGAGTATGATATTTTGAGAAAAATAATCGAGATAAAGCTTGAAGCAAATACGAATAGATCACCGATGCGATGGACATGTAACTAAAATAAGCTCGAAATCGACAGGAGAGATCACTTGTATCCCAGGAAATAAAGATTAGATATATATAATTGATATTTTGAACAAGACTGTAAAATATCGATGTCAGACACGTATTACAAACAAGAGTATGTGTCGTAGTATGTAAACGTCTAGTAGAATAGACTAGAAGTAATATTCCCGACGAGATAATGACAGAAATCAATGCACAACACATAGAGATCGGAATGATTAATTTGTAATTAACGGATGTTAGATTTGTGGAATGGATAGTAGTATTCATTTCGATAGACAAATTTTTACGTCGAGATTGAATTGAGAACAGCTAACAAAGAAAAAATGAATGATATTGTGATACAGGAAGATTTAGATTTAAAAACAGGGATAGGAAAATAGTTATTATTGACATACTGTGCCTAAAACACTGCATGGCCGAGACATTTCTTTTTAATTACAAAAAATTGAAAAGAATATGCGAGATCTTCAAGCTATGAATTATTAAAAATGCATTTGCTGAAATAGCACTTTGTCTGAAATTTTATAGGAAAATAAAGAAATCCATATAAGAATATTATCCAGATTATCTGCGTTGTTTTACTTTATCCCATGACGGATTATGAAGCGACATATGAATAATGCTGAATATTTCACTTAGTTGATAAAAAATAGAATCTTCTTCACATTAAAAATTGAATAGATAAGAGCATCATTATCGTTCCTTTTGTGCACATATTCTATTGTCTTCATTATCAGCTGATGTTTAATGGAGATGAGTTCAACCTTATCTTGACATCTGATTCGGAAAGGAAGTTGTTTTCATAAAACTTTGCCAAATCTCATTTGTTTATGTATCAGTGATCGTATTTAGCCATACATTCAGCTTATTCGAATACACACACCCTCAAGATCTGACAGTCATGTTCTGATTCTGTCAAAAAAAGAGACATTTTATTTTCAACAACACTCAGACAACATTACGAAGAGAATATTTGATATCAAGCAGTAAATCTTGTCGTGGTATTTACATTAATCGTCATAGGCATTACTGACGTTGTTGATTGACAAAGACCTCTTTTGAAGACCTTTCGAATTTCTCGATCTAAGACAATCGAACAGAATTTCTCCACAGCCACTGCCAACGACACTGAAACAATTCCAATGTAATAGAGTATATCAATGCTGGATATCATATAAAACACGGATGGTACTGCCCCTAATATGTAAATGCAAAACAAGATCATAATATTCCGAAGAACTTCGAGATCACGGCTGGTTTTTCTTTGACCAGTATGATTGGTCGTGGCCATTGCACTTCGTTTTATTCGACGATAGATTCGAATGTAGATGGTTACGATTATGGTTACAGGAAGTAGATAATAAGCAATTATTGAGTACGCGATGTGTATCATGAATTTGATCGGAATCCAACAAAGATATCCCGGACGAAAATAAATATCGTTTGTAAGAATTGCAGGTAATGGAATGATGAGAACGATGATCCAATTGATAATCAACATGATAAAATGAGCTTTAAATGATGTTAACCACCGATATCTCGTCGATAAAACTGCGAAGAACAAACGTGAAATAGCTTGAAGCAAATAAGAATAGACAACAGCGACGATCGACATGTAATTAAAATACGCACGCCATTTACATGAAATATCGCTCGTGTACGAAGGAAAGAATAGAAGATACACATAACTATTCGATTGAGAACAACAGTATAGAATTGATGAAATACACGTATTACAAATCAGGAGATGAGTAACTGTACGTAATTGTTTATTGAATGGAATCAATATTAAAATAATCAATGCAATAATTACGGCAACTGAAGCAAAACCCATGGACAATGGAGCGATTAGACGGTAATCAGCATAATCCTGTGCGATGGTGGTTGTTGAAACATTCATCTCGATTGTTTAATTGTAAATGAAAACATGTTTTTCTAATCAACTTTACATTATTTTCTTCCTGACAAACAAAATTTTCTTTATCGTTGACAGTGAGCTGTCTCATTACAATAGAAAAAGGAAATCTAGTAGCACGCTCAATGTTAAAATTGATTAGCGGCAATTAAACGATTCAGACGTAATGAAATGTTTCTATTTCAAAAACATTGCTCATCCAGGTGAGAAAAACGTGACATACCGCACCACTTGCATGAAATGTATTCATGTACATGAGAGATATTGTTTCATTAACGAGGAAATCAAATAAGATTTCCATTAATAAAATTGTACCCAACTTATAGTCCTCACTGACATCGATGAAGAAGATTGGAAGGATTTGAAATGTCACGAACGAGCTTATTAGCTAAATTGATACTAATGCATCATGACTTTGCATTTCGCATTCTCGCTCATTACGAGAAGTTCTTTAAGTTCGAAGCGCAGATTGCTTGAGAATATTTTCAGGAGAAGATGTCGAATTATGCGAGTACAATAGTTTCTCTTAAATATTTAACGGTACAAATCAATCGACACGGAAGTTTAATTGTTGTTTTATTTGGCACCGTTGGCAATTTGTTGAATCTTCTCGTATTCAGCGATCGATCTTTTCATCTCAATCCATGCACAATTTATCTGAAATGGTCATCGAGCATCAGTATTATCTTTATCTGGTCAGGATTATTAACACGTATTCTCGATGGGTATAGATCATCCTTAACAATCTTGTCTCATTGACTTCTTCGATCTTTTTTTTAGGTATGGAATTAGTTGGCCGAATCACAATCCACCGTTATGTAAAATTCGTTTGTTTACCTTGATGGTTTGTTGGTCAATGTCTACATGGGCTTTCGCCGGAGCAATGATGGATCGATATTTGTGTAGTAATCCCTTAGTTATCCACCGTTTGAAGAGTACTGTTCGCACAGCAAGGCGATTTTTAATCTTCTTTTTCATTCTTTCCATTGCTTTATTCGCGCAAATCTTCTATTGTTATGAAGCAAGTGTGCCCAACGTTCCCGTCGCTTGTTACACTCAAACGTTAGCTTGTCAAATTTACAATGATTGGACGAATATTTTGTACAACATTCTTATTCCAAGTATATTCATGACAATATTCGGCGTGCTGACAATCTCGAACCTTCGACGACGAACTGTCCATCCAATACAGACGAATACACAAACACAGCCGACTTTGAGAAGAATCGATCGAAATCTTCGGAAGATACTGTTTGTTCAAGTATGTTTCTCTTTGAATTGATTTGAATCGTTTTTAACTGAAGCTTTGGTTTAGATTGCTTTTTTACTTGTGTTGAGTTTACCTGTTGGAATTCAGCGTTTTTACGCGAATGTCACATCAGATACAGTTAAAAGTGATCTTCGGTCAGCGGTGGAAAATTTTCTGTATGCAATTATTGTTTTACTTCGGTTTATTCCTTATTCGGTATCGTTCTATTTATATCTATTCACTGGATCAGTGTTCCGGAACACATTCAAACGAAAAATATGCCATATGCACATACGTCAATGACAGACAAGACTCAATAGTCTGTTTTTCTCAAATATACTAACAGAAAATCACAACCAATTATTATTTAATCAGAAACACACAATTTTCTGCGTTAAACGTGGTTGTACTACTTCAATAAATGTTTCTGCTTGACATGCATTACACATTTCTGGCAGATGAATCTGTCCTGTGTAGATAAAGCCGTATAATGCGATGAGAATCTATTTTAGTAAAAGCTTTAAAAAGAACAGCACGAGCGCTAGACTGTTCAACAATTGTCACGCCTCGATTTCTCTAAGAAAAATGCTTCTATCTTTGCTCTTACTTTTCCATATCTACGCAACGGCTCCCACTAAAATCGACTGAAATTCATGACTTAATTCAATAACCTCACTCTATGAATTAAGTGTGAATCTCTCCAGTCGACGATTTAAATGCACATCGTATATTTCATCGATATTCTTTGTTCTTAAACCAAAACTTTGCTTGAACATTGAAAATCAGTGTGCAATTATGTTAACTTACTGATTCTACAGATGAATTTATTTTCTTTTGTGTTGCTACTTCATGGCATCGCGCGAGTTTTGGATGAATAACTTAACTAGCAGAAGTCATAGCTATCAAAGAAATTAGTGTTTTCTTTTGCCGTGACTTGCTGTTTAAGAAAAAAAAAAACTATTTCATTTGTCAGAATAGACGTTTGTTAAAACACCTGCTAACATAACTGGCTCACGGATGTTGCAACTCTTGATTCTTTCCGCAATATTGTTTACTGGAAATTGTGTATTACTAACTAAAGTTGAGAGTGCAAGATTGAATGGATTTACTTTAATGAGTTTATCGAATAGAACACAAGAACAATGCATTTGTGAAATGTTAACATTAAATTACGTTTCGTCAATGAACTATTTCTCAAAAAATCGAACATGCTTATTAGTTTTGTTGCCTCCTGGTTTATCTACAAGTGTCATAGTCGATATCAACTCTAAATTGTTTTATACCAATCAATCAACCATTGGAAATTTGTTTAGTAAGTGAATATGTAGAAATTTGACTCCTTTTTTCCTTGGAAATGCTCATGAAGCTCGTTGGTAACATGACGATAAAGAAATGCTTTTTTTGTTGATTATTTGTTGTTAACGACAATTTTACTGGTGTAAAAAGTGTTCTTTTTCTTAAAATAGAAACAACTTTCACATCAACAACATCGACGGCTATAAGCACGATTTCCGGTAAGCGAACACATACTTTGAATACATGTCTGATGGTTGATTGACCACGAAATCTTCACCAAACATTGTTTCTCTCTGCTTGATTTAGGATGGACAACTTTAGCGAATATGACTGTTGGGCGATACCGTCATACAGCATCTGCATTATCAAATAGCAGTGTATTAGTCGCTGGCGGACGAGATAGCAATTATGCTGCTCTCCTCAGTGCAGAAATATACAACCAAGTGACGGGAACGTGGATAGCCACAGGTAATATGAGTATTGGACGATTTAGTCATACAGCAACTGTCCTGGCAAATGGACAAGTTTTAGTAATCGGTGGTTATCGTAATGCTACTCTGAACAGTTGTGAAATCTATGACCCATTGAGAGGTAGATGGACTGTTGTGGGAAGCATGGGTATTGCCCGAATTTATCATACGGCATCTCTACTGCTAAATTCTAAGGTGTTAGTGGTTGGTGGACAAAGCGAGAGCACTGCTGCTATTAATAACGCACAATTATTTGATCCATCAACAGGAGGATGGTCAGCAACAGGTAGTTTGAATACTGGTCGATGTTGTCACACCGCATCTGTTCTAACAAATGGAAAGATATTAGTTACTGGTGGAGGAAATGGTGTTGATAGTTTCCGAAGTGCTGAACTGTATGATCCATCATTACAACTGTGGTCAATGACAGGAGATATGAACTTTGCACGGTATTTTCACACAGCGTCGGTTTTAATCAACGGTTCTGTATTGGTTACTGGTGGTCTCAGCGGTAAAGACGCTTTTATCAATTCTGCCGAATTGTATAATCCAGCGACAGGAACGTGGACAATCGTGGGAACTATGAGTACTGCCCGAAGTTATCATACGGCATCTGTCCTGACAAACGGAAATGTTTTATTAGCCGGTGGGTATAATAATATTTCTATTAACAGTGCTGAACTGTACATTGCTTCAAGTGGAAATTGGACGGTCGTAGAATCCATGAAGTTGGGGCGATATTTACACGCTGCATCTGTATTATCAGATGGCAAACTTCTAGTTACCGGTGGATACAACAATGGTTGTCAAAATAGCGTAGAACGGTATTATTAATCGACAACACCATAACCAAGACCTTTCTCTTTTACAGACTAATTCTCAAAAAACTATTTGATTTAATAAAATTGATGAATATTACATTTACATCCATCCACTAAGCATTTTTTATCTTTTTGCCAACGTGTTGATTGATGATTTTTAGTTTGGAAATATGTTAATATAGCACCAAGCTTTTGCTTCCAGTTCTGATTAAACAAATAGCGATTCACGTAAAGAATGATACACTGAAAACAGAAACGTTGACATTTGCCTTGTCAAATATTCCTCAACAATGATTGATTTCACTAATAGCCAGAAATATATGTCCCGGAAATTTCAAAGTAATGATTAACGAAATTATCAAAATTACATGTACTATTATGGGAGCGAGATAATCAACACGCAATTAATGTAATGAAAGCCGTCTGTTCGGAGAGATTAATATAAGAGAATGCGTTTCCTTATATGTATTCTAGAAAAAGGAAAACGGCAATAACATGTTGTACTCAAACTGCATTCAGAAAATTGTATTTTCCATTGAATAGAAAACACATCTGCCCATCGCAACGTGTGATAGACGATGTTTCATCCGGGAGAAAAATTGAATAGATAAGTTACATTGCGGTTTGCGATTTTAGCTACTATGACTATACAACAGTCGTACTTTATCTTTTCGGAATGGCTTCCATTGCTGTTTGAAGGATGACAGGTAATACTTGCTGTTGATATCGTTTGAAGAAAATACTTTTCAATTGCGGTGTGAAAATGATAAGCGCGAAATCGATTCCAAACATTGATAAGCTAACAAAAAACCATTCGACTCGAAAAAAATATGGATTTTCTACGTTTTGAATGTACGATATGAGAAGAATGGTAAGTGCAGGAACTCCAAGCATCATCAATAAGCTAACAATCACACAAATTCGTCGAATGATTGTTAAATCTCGTTGTTCACGCTGCCGAACCATCAGAACTCTTTGATTTTGTGTGTTATGCTGCAGATAAAGCGTAATTCGTAAATAAATCATCAATAAACAACTTAAAGGCAATCCGAAAGCGAATGAAAATATCCAAACAGCACCACGAACGTTCATTACAGAGATATAACAATAATGCTCTCGTGGCAAGTATGTAATATCACGCCATATCAGCGATGGAGATAATAGAATTGCGACAAGAAGCAATTCAATGGGTAGTAACATAAAATATAACCACGATGATTGAAAAGACGAACGAGAGAAATATATTATTCGACAAAAACGATAGAATGCCTAAAATAGAACAAAATTTCACAAAAATTATTTCTATAGCGATATGTAAGTCAGATCCTTAAAAAGATGGATACTGGAGTAAGACTAGAGCTCATTAGTTCGCTTTACTTGATTGACAAAATTCCAGTACAACGTGCCGAACACAACTGGATCAATGAATCCGATGAATATACACCATTGCGAATCGAATTCTAATCCATAGTGATCTCCGAGAAGCGATTGCATTGTGAATGAATTGATAATTAACATGAATATAAACAACAAGATGTAAATATTCATCGAGTGAATGAAAACTACTTTATCATCTCGTTGAATTCGATTGAAATGAATGTAGTGAAGAATACGAATCATAATGATCAGAGCGATTATACATATAACTAGACCAATAATGATTGCCGAGATATTCAGAACAATTTCAAACATGTTGGGTATGTTTAACGTGAAACTAATCAAGAATAAAAAGAAAGATTTTATTTCTAAACTAAGCTTTTCTTACTAGAAGAAGATAAAGATGTTGATTACAGAGTAAAGCAACATTTGTTAGAAAAAGAGATTTTCTTTCGCAAGTTTGGATATCTACTTCACCCATTCATAATTCTATGCCATTTTTAAGATAATTAATCATTCGTCTTTCATCCTAGAAAAGTCAACTAATTCAGGCCGAGTGGTTGATGAAAACGATCTCATTTAGTCGTGAAAGTTCACCAACAGGATTTTCTGGGCACAATCGGATATCGTGTGATTGATCATTTTATCCTATATGTACTGCGAATGATATTGCTTATTCTTGCAAATTTGCAAATGTTCAAGAGACACGGTGCATAAGATTGAGAGTAACATATAGAGATCTGTAACGCCAGTTCTGCAGAAGCTACATTGAAATTAAAAAAGAATACGTTGCCTTTCCTTCTTGAATATTTTCTGAAGAATGAGGAAAGAGGAAGTAGTGATCCAATTGTAACAAAATGTTGCTGTCCTATAAAAAAAAGAAATTATTTTCGTCAAAGAATTTATTGGAAGCAAAACGATCTGAATATAATCTGAATACGATAGTGGAAAATGGTGTTGCTATGTAGGTAGTATTTTGTAAGTATTTAGCAAACAAACAGATACTTGACATCTTTTCACTCTTGACTAAAACCTCATATGTGATGATCATAATAATGTTTGTCTGCAGAAAAGGCAATTTCACGGATTTTGTAACAAAACAAGAAACCTAAAATGGCGCATGAAAAGAAAGAAAAGTTTTGAGCATTTCTGTTAATTATACTTTGTCATCAAATTTATAGACAAAACAATGTTTGAATTCGTCACTTCTCTCATCATATTCTCTCTCTCTCTCTCTCTCTCTCTCTCTCTCAATTTCAACAACAATAAATTTTTGTCAAATGATCATTTCACTTCCATTTATGTTCGTATTAGACTATTTCGTCGACAAATCAAACATGTCAATTATTTCCTTCGAATATAATTGTAACTGATCTCGATTTGGATTCGACAATCATCTATACAAATGGATCGATCGTTTCACATGTATTTCGAGAGTTGGAGAGTGCGGTTGAAGATGGATATAGTTGTCTTTGTTTGTTGTTGAGAAATAATTACTCCCTACAAGACTAGAAAGATCTTGTTTGAGTAATATTTGAAGTTTGTTTTATACTACCAATAGAAACAAAGCACAACATCGACTACAACTTCGGCATCTTTTATATCAACATCCACATCAACGTCAACTACAACAACTCAGATAGGTGAGTGAGATGCACAAAAATCCATTTCACCCTTGATCAGGTATCACGAGTCAATTATAAATGTATTGCTATGTGAAAGGAGAAGTTTTCACCGTGTCTTATAAGAGACAACTCAAATGCAAGCGTATCACAGTCGAACTAAGGATTATGAGAGTTGTTGTATTTAGGAAACGAGAGTAAGAGATAAACGCGCCTTATGTGAAGATCTAAACTGATTGAAGTCGGATTATGAATACTGCTCGACGATCTTATACAGCATCCTTGTTATCGAATCCTACTATACTTCTTACTGGCTAGTCGTCAGTGAACAGCATATGTTTGAACAGTGCTGAACTCTATAGATAACAACTAACTCAATGTTTAGCTTTCAATACCAGGACGCTTTTATTTATTCATCGCAATGCTTGTGTAATCGTGCCTTTATTCTTAAGGCAAACTATATTCTTCAACGTATTGCTTTTCTCAATTCCTGACTTTTTTCTGATACTCCCACTCCGTTTAGATATTCTACAAGCAAAGAAAAGTTTTATTGATAAACAATCAAATATTCTGCATATGCTTGTGCATCATGATAAGTCACAAAAATATGACTACCATCTGTTGTTGAGTGATATCCGTCTGGGAGAGTTTTCTGGGATGCATGTCCAAGACATGATTTACCGATCAGAACACGTGCTAAGAACATACGTCGTTCCCCTACCGCATTTGGTGTCGCATAAGAATGACTGTACATTGCATTGCTTGAAAAATAAACACCAAAACCGTATAGTGTACCTAAACAAAACAATTGAAAAATATGAAACAGACATCGAATACCAATCATACCATTAACTCCAGCAAAATTTCTGTTGAAACCGTGTTTGATAATCGATCGACTCGCTTGTTCAGGACAGCCATGAAATAAGACCTTCTCGGTATCGATCTTTAATTCTTCTCGTAAACCTTGACGATGGATTTTGAATTGTAAATAACAACGTTCATTTTGAATTCGTTCAATTCGCATTATTTTCGAATAGGAACCCACCATTGTCGGTTGAAACTTACCCAACACTTCGTTATACTCATCTGACGAAACGTCTAGTGTGAAAGAGTTTTGACCATCTCTTCCACATTCCCACGTCGAAGGTAAACTAAAATTAAACCCAACAATGCTATGAGTGAGTGCTACTGTTCCATGGTCAAGCCAATCAAGTGTAGCTGCATCGGTAACATCTGAGAATATTGACATTTGATCACGAAAAACATCATAAATATTTTTCTGTTCATGTCGAATGATAAATTTCACTATTAGAGAAATGTCGCTGTTCGTCAACTGATTTTTGACATCAGCAAGCATCATTTTTGCGACTTGACTTGTCGAATAACTATATTCACCGCATCCAATGATCGGTAGAGCGATTGATGTAAAACCATCAGTTATAACATGTTGTAAAACAGTCGATATCAACTCCATATAAGACTTTCGTAGCAGAGCTAAGTTTCTGGATGGTTCCCATTTGAAAAAATAGATTTGATGGACAGATAGTTGACCACCCGGGACCGAAATCAGGTTTCTATTCGGATCACGTTGATATTCATGTTCGTAAGCAGATTGAATTTCATCCCCAGCCGCTTCGAGCATTGACTTTTTTAAGCGATTCGATGTTGTTGTACCAACGATAACATCCGTCTACAATATCATAAATATATATAAAGAAAGACATTTCATGGACTAATTACTGTTTGCTGCAGAATATCTCCCTTTTCAACAATCACTACACTGTTGCCCACATCTACTAATATCTGTTTCATTTCTGTATCGGACTCTTCTACTTGTGGTATTGATTTGATAGCTCTCGTAAATTGATCAAAAATATCGTCTTTTCCGACTTCGATGACAAAGAGAATTGAAAGAGAATATGTTTTCAATTGATTATAAATCTCTTCGACCATTGTCTTAGCAACAAAACTACTGGAACAACCGGCTAAGCCACAGCCAATAGCCGGAAATGCAATACTTTGATATCCATCATTGCTTGCTCGTTTCATAGCATCGGTAATTAAATTCTTAATTGATAAATCCATTTGAACCGGATCAGAACTAAGTTGACATGAAACAAAGTAAACTCTTTTCGCTAGTAGTTTATCCCTAGTTCTGACGGAGATCAAAGAAGCATTTGGATCTCGACTTAATTTCATGTCATAGTCGTCTCTAACCGATTGTCCCGCCGCTTGTAAAACGCTTTCCAGCAAATATGCCGATGTACGACTTATGACAATGACGTCAGTCTAAATACATTTCAGAATTTATTAATAGTTTAACACAACATTTTCCTTACATTTGTAGATATTAAATTACCCCGCCGAATTTTAATATTCGATTGATCGTCTTCATCAGACTCTGAAGTCTACAGAGAAAATAAAATCATCAATGAAATATCATTTAGTTATGTGTCATATTAAAAACTTTACTTCACTTGATGTATAAAACATGGGTACTGTTACTAGAGGATTCGGTATAATTCGTGGAGGGATTGATACCGTTCGTGGAGGAATTAGCGGTGTTTTAGTAGGAATCGTTCTTGTTCGTACAGATTTCTTGTTTCGACGAAAGAACGACATAAAACGAGATTTTTTTGGAGTGTAGCTTTCACTTAGATCATAGTCCCATGTATCTAGCCATGATTGCTGGATTACAGTTTGTTGTGGTACTTGTGATGGTAAGACGTAAGGTCTGATTGATGGATACTGTATAGCAGGTTTTAATATAGGCTGAGTTGGATTCGCCGAGTTTTGTTGAACGATCTAATTTCGAAAAGAATGAATGAATATTGAAATTTGGAGAATAATGAATTACTGTATTTTTTGCACTTGTGCTGGCAGGTGGTTTTGGAATTGCAGGAAGAGCCGGCGTCGTCGGGATAGAAACAAATCGACATTGTAAAATTACTTGTTGGATTTCATCTGTCTGTGTCCCATATTCTTTCCACTACTAAGAAATCTGGATAGTCAAAGAGTAGAGAACTAAAATTAACTTACAAATGTATCGACATCATCATTGTATGTTTTTGGAACAACAAAATATTTGATCACCAATCGGTTTTGTTTATCTACTTGCTGAGAGTCAACATTTGCTTGAGGTTTACATGTAACTACATCGAATTGTTATAGATTTCATCGGCGAAACAACTCGAACTCACCTTGAACATCAACAGCTTCTTCTAAATCTATAAAACCTTTGTATGGTTTTATTCGATGATATTCACATGCTGTTTTAATTTTGAATGCTAACCGATCCGTGCCATGATTGATCAAATTCAAATTTGCATTACACACTTCGCTACATGTACCTTTGCCAATCAAAAACAGATTTTATTTGTGTCATGTTAAATTATGTCAATACCTTGGAAAATAAGTTCATCATTTGGATTGATTTCAAGGCTCATGATCAACGAAAGACGAAAAGTTTCTGTCGGAAGTTTGTATTTCTACTTCCTTCGACGGTATAGTCACGCGTATGGTTTTTTTTCCAACTAATGTATTTACCTTTACACTCGTTTTGTCTTCTTACTCATCGCAAATACATTTTTTCGTTTTATCCAAAACAGTTTCGCTCTGTTGCTTTTAAATGAGTAATCATATGTTCTTAGCCATGACGAGCGTAATAGTGATCCGAATAAAACATTCTTTTCATAAGTTTCGTCTTTAAAAATCATGACTTCTAACATGATTATCTATATACTTTGATCGATACTCCCTTCGATAAAAAGCGTGTTACATAACTTCAGAATTTCATTTGTATAACAATCTCTCCTCGGGTTTTAAATCGACAAATCTTCAATCGAAACTCTAAATCAAGTCGATAGAACTATAATCAACCGTAAATAGATGATCTTCCATTAAAAAAAGACTTCGTATGTGTCGTTTTGTTGTTGCACTTATAATTCATTAAAATTAACTTCTAGTGAATTCAGAAACTCATAAAGAAAAAGAAACAAAAATATATTTTTTATAATTATGTCACCAACGGTTTCGAATAATATTTGAAGATAAAAAAATGATCATTTCACTTCCATTCATGTTCGCATTAGACTATTTCGTCGACAAATCAAACATGTCAATTGTTTTCTTCGAATTTAATTGTAACTGATCTCGATTTGGATTCGACAATCATCTATACAAATGGATCGATCGTTTCACATGTATTTCGAGAGTTGGAGAGTGCGGTTGAAGATGGATATAGTTGTCTATGTTTGTTGTTGAGAAATAGTTATTAAGAGAAAAATAATCAGATATTTCAAACGCAGTGTAGTGGCATATCGTCGTTGTATGTTCTAGTTGATCAATCTCTCCCTAAAACACTAGAAAGATCTTGTTTGAGTCATAGTTGAAGTTTGTTTTGTATTGCAAATAGAAACAAGCACAACTTCGTCATCAACGTCACCTACAACAGTTCAGATAGGTGGGTGAGATGCACAAAAGAACCATTTCACCTTTGATCAGATATGAGGAGTCAATTATAAATTGTATTATTATGTGGAAGAAGTTTCATCGTGTCAAAAACTTCGATTCACCCAAAGGACACCTAAAAGCGTAATAATATTATCGACTACACTCGAGGAATATGACGTGGGAACGGACTATTTTTCGTTTTACTGGAAATGTCAAAGTGATGGACATTCTCAGACGGACTTGTACTCATATATCTGATTTATTCAAACAGCCCAACGTGTTGTCTTTTGCAGTGAAATAACAATCACTCCAAATTTATAGGTAAATTCACCTTTTAATCATTTTTTATTCAATGAAAATTAACCAGGCGATATTAATACTTTTCATTCGTCTTCAAGGTATCTTCGCGAGAGAGTCATAATGAAAAAAACATGAAGTCATTTATTCACTTTCAGCAGAAGAAGCACTGATGTCTTCATCGATTATTTCTACATTGAATTTCATCTCACAGCAAATCAGCATATACATCGGTTTAACCATTCTCATTCTTGGTGTCGTTGGCGGATGTCTCAACGTCCTTGTTTTCGTGAGTCTTCGAACATTTCGACAAAGTTCATGTGCATGTCATCTCATTATTATGTCGATCTTCAACATTGGTCAACTAGTTGTTGGTCTTTCAGCTCGAGCTTTGGAAACTAATGACGATATCAATGCGATATTAACCTCATTTTCCTACTGCCAGTATCGACAATTCACATTTCAAGCGTGTGTATCAATCTCCTTAGCCAGTATTTGTTTTGCCACGATTGATCAATACTGGGCAACATGTTCTCGTCCGAAATGGCGACAGTGGTGCAATATTAAATTAGCACTTCGTCTCAATCTAATCTCGATTATCATTTCGCTCTTACATTGTATTCCATATTTATTCTTCTCTAACCGAGCTTTTCTTCCCACCACTAATCGAATATCATGTATTGTAACCAACAAAACCTATCAACAATATCGAGATTATGTTTTAATACCTTTTATCAACCGGCTTATTCCCTTGACAATAATCTTCACATTTGGTTTACTCGCTTATCGTAATGTTCAACAAATCGCATATCGAACAGTTCCGATTGTTCGACGCGAGTTGGATAAGCAGTTAACAACAATGGTTTTAGTGCAAGCCGCGTTCATTTGCTTGACAATTACACCCTATTTAATTCTTAATTCAATTACGTCATATACAAACCTTGCTCAAAATGCAACGACTGCGGCTATACTGAGTTTAATGAATATAATAATCTTATGTTTTTATTATCTTAGTTCTGCCGTAAGTAGATTAATAAAACATAAGATATTTGTTTTGTGCATATTTATCTTTGTAGGGTCCATTTTACATTTACCTGAGTGTATCGGAACGATTTCGTCGACAATTTCTATACGTAATCGGTCAAATTCATGCGAACAAGTGTACTAAACCAAGAATAGCTAGAAATCAAGTGATGCCCGATGACTTTTAGCTGATGTCATATAGATGTATGCAATAAAAACCATCTTGAGGATTTAAATCTAAAAATAAAAAAACAAAAGTGATCGTCATTATGACATGAAACGTTAATTTACTTTCTCGCGAGTACTTTGGGATATAAATCAATTAAATCATCCTGTTGGGCTTTGTATCAACGATTACTTTAATTGAAATGTAGATGACTGAGAACAAATACTTTTTGTGCTTCACATAATGACTGAATTACTTTTGAAAAATAACAACCAGGCTTCCATGTTTGATATGTATCAAATTTCACTCGTTTGAAAAAGATATTTTCATGTCGAAGTGTAATGCATCAATCGTATTTTGTTTTTTGGTACACGAATTGTTCTTTTCATATTACCTTGTGATCTTAATAGTTTATAAGATTTTAGAGTGTTACGAACTAACACATTCACGTTGAGCTCATTTGATATTCTTTCAGAAATAAATTCAATGACTGTGACAAGATGTTCTTGCTAGTTTTTTGGCACAGTGTACTCTGTTGAAACAAGAAAGAAAAAGGACTTTGACGATGAAAAGTACATATTGAGAGTGTGTATTTGAAAAGTAATCACACAAAATAAATACTCATAAGATTAATCACAGTAAACCGTTTGTATCATCAATGGTTCTCACACGCGTATATAAAAGCACACCCTCAGATTCTGCGCTCACTCGTCTCATCTTTCGTACAAAAATTTCTTCTAATACAGCTATGATTATCTCTCCACGACTTGTTCTCCTACTCTTGTGCATCGTGGACATTGCATGGTCTCTATCGACTGATCAATTAGCACTTCTAGAATCAACAATTAATGAGAACAGCTGTGAATTCTACAGTAGTCTAGAAAAACTGATGCCGTGTGGTAAAAATGGCTATGTCATTGGTTTTGGCTACAGATATTGTGAAGCATATTTAGATGCACGAAATGAATTCAATGATACCAAATGGCAAAATGGCGTTCGTGTATGTCTTCAACGAACTATGCTCTCGAAACTTCCGACTATTTCTGAAGCTTCCTGTTCGCAAATTAGTGAGTGGGGTTTCGATTCGCATTTTGGCTGCTATATGCATCCGATTCCTGACTCACCAGAAATCAACTTCTGTCATCTCAAATCAATGGACATTATCAAAATCGGATGGATTGCGACGAGTAAATTATTGAAACAAGAAGTGTTAAATCAATTTCTTAAACTAATCAAACAATGTACCACTCATAATTAATACAACTATACTATTCATCATAGTTTTGCTTTAATCATAGAGCATTTTCTGATAATAGAATTTTGATGTCATCAATTTTTTGAATGTATTCGTCATAAATGGTTTGAAACAATCAGGGAAATCGAAAGAGAGGCTTTTTGCAACGAGTATATCGTACCCATCTACGTCCTTAATCCTTTTGTATTCTGATATGATGATTAGGCGATTTTTTTATGATGTCTTTCTGCAATGTGATTCTGTGCGCTTCAATTGTTATACAAGAAGCAGAGAATAAATGTGAGAGCAGTTGGATTTTTGGAAACACAAAATCATTTATATCTATATTTCTGATTTTCTGAATCTTGACTACTTTTGTTATCAAAGTAGCACGAATCTCATTGAAATTGTGTAGTACATCATCAATATAAGTATTATTACGTATAACATACCATACATCGTGGCAGAATGACACGAAAAATCAGTGGAATGAATTTTTTTCAATAATAACTGATTATTATTGACAGACTAACACTCACCAACCGTTCTGATATTATCACTTCGCATCATAAATAAATAATTGAATGAATGAATTGATATCTGTTCTTTTACAATGGTTATTTTCACATCTTCATTCTCGGTTAAACAACTATGATTCTGCGAAAACAAAAGTTACTTGTGTAGTTAATCTTTCAATTAAATGAATCAATTGAGGATTGTACAGAAGAAAAAACAAATCAACATGGTTTGTCCTTGACATTCTAATCTTTAGCATGGACATATGTATATAAATCTTCGTATTTTCACAGTCGAATCGCAATATCTTCTCCAAATTCGACTTGGCACGTTTATCAGAAATAAAGATGTCTGTTTCTCTACGATCCATTTTATTACTACCATGTTTGTGGAGTCTTGTTTGGTCATTATCTATACTCGAATTGTCTCTTCTTGAATCAACTATTAGTGAAGACAGCTGCAGCTTCTATCAAGCTCTTGAAATGCGGACTCACTGTGGCAACGATGGATATGTGACTAACTTTGCGCATAAATACTGTGAAAAGTATCTGGCTGGAAGGAGCAGCTTCAACGACACGAAATGGCAAAATGGCGTGCGTGTTTGTCTTCAACGAACCATGTTATCCAAATTACGAACCGTCAGTCAGCCTACATGCCAACAAATCCGTGATTGGGGTTTCGATTCACACTTTGGCTGCTACATGCGCCCTATTCCTAATTCACCTGAAGTGAAATTTTGCCGATTGAAAGGAGCAGATATAGTAAAGATTGGATGGATGGCTAAAGGAACGGTGTTGGAAAAGGAAGTTTGGAAACAATTCGCAAAAATGATCAATGAATGCGCTGGTCAGTATTTACAAGACGTTAAACAAGATTTTGTTCAATTTCTGAAAAAAACTATGAACTCACTCAATTGGCCGTGGTAATCACGAAAACGTTTTTGATGATGTCGATGGTTTAGTTAGCATCGTCATTTATCGAATGTATTTGTCATAAATCTATTCAAATTATGAATATATAAACTAAAAATAAATAACATAGATATGTCGATGATAGCTTTCAAGACATTCAATAAAACGCTATCTCGTAAGTTCATATAAGTGATAAAAAAAACATGATAAAAAGGATTTACGATACTGCTTTATACACGATGTCAATGCATATTCATAGACTTTGAATTTTTATTTTTGATAAAAACGAATCAATCACAAATATTTAAAAGAACAGATAAGTCACCATCATAGAAGTTCGTTACGAGCAGATCCAGTTTATTATCATTGTTTAGATCGGCAGATTTGAGAGACGAAGGTCCATTGCCAGTCGGATATATACTTTCAAATGAAAATATTCCATTGGCATCTCCTAATAACATACTGAGAGTTTTATCATCGAAATTAATGATTGCTAGATCAGTCTTTTGATCATTATTAAAATCTGCTG